ATTTGGGCAGAGAAGCGACAGGATCCAGTAAGCTCTTAGAAAAGAGACTCTGGAGAATGGATTTGAGAGGAAGTGTAGAAGCAGCAGCAGGGAGCCCCGGTAAGAAGCTGTTGCAGCAGTGGCCCAGGCGAGACCGACGGGCTGGAATGGCCGGGAGGGCGTGGGAGGTGGTTAGACATGGGCTTTATCTCGAAAGTAGAGCCAGCGGATTTGCTGACAGATGTGAAGTGGGAATGTGAGAAAGGGCTAGAAATCGAGGGTGTCTTCTAGGTTTATGGCTGAAGCAGGTGGATGACATGGTTCTGTTTCTTGAGACTGGGGAGAGGTTTGGGGGAGGGGTGAGAATGGTAGAAATCAAGATTTCTGTTTCGCACAAGTTGTTTGAGTTACCCACTAGACATCTATGGTAGACCTTTATGTTAATGCATCCAATATACATTCTCTCTGTATGATTTTCCTATTGCTACCATAACAAATTATCACAAATTTAGTGGCTTAATACTAACTTACTCTCTTAGATTTTTGGAGGTCAGAAATGTGAAGTCAAGGCACTGGCAGCGCTGTGTTTCTTCTAGAGGCTTCAGGGGAGATCTGTTTCTTTGCTTTTTCCAGCTTCTACAGGATGCCCACACTGTTTGGTCTTTGACCCCTTCCTTCATCCTCAAAGCCAGCAGAATGGCAACTTCTCTCTTCCCTCTTACAAGGACCTTTGTGATTTTATCAGGTCCATCCGGATGAGCCAGCGGAATCTCCCAACTCAATAGCCTGAATTGTCTCACATCTGCAAAGTCCTTTTGCCACGTGAGGTAACATATTCACAGGTCCCAGGGACTAGGATGTGGCCGTCTTGGGGTGGGGGGTCATTAGTTAGTTTACCATATGTCTCTATTTCCTTATCTTCAAAACCTTGACTGAGATGAAAATAGCAATGTACCCAAGTTAAAAACTACATTTCACGGACCTATTTGCAAGTAAAGGTGACAAGAGCATTTTTCCCGAAGGAGACTATAACAGATGCTGGTAGCGACCACCCATTCCCCCTCATGCTAATCACGTCAGTGCAGGACCCTACCCCCAAGTGCCAATACCCACATGTCCCTCTGGATCCCTCTGGCCGTCTCACATGCACGAGAGGCCAAAAGTGCCAGGAATTAATGTCCCCATGATGACTGGCAGGAGTTTGTCTATAAATACCCGTCATCCTTGGATGGAGGAAGCAAGGCAGGTGTTGTAAACTGGCTTCCAGAGTTTCCCAGTGAGACTCAGCTGCACTTACCCTCAGCAGTGACTTACCGGGTACCAAACCCTGTATCAGCTGGCTTCCCTTCTCCACTGTGAACCAGGAAAAAGCATATTTGGCCTGCTTCCCTCACAGAGTTTCTGTGTGAACCAATGCTTTGTAAAAGGTAAACTTGCAGACTTCATTGAGATGGTGTTATTATGAGACCCACAAACTATGAGGCCTTGTTAGGAGGTCACCTGGTTACTCTCCACCCCTTCAGGGGCGAAAGGAGACACACCCAAGTGTCCCAGTGAGTTCACACAGATGAGAAACAAACTGGGTGTTCTGGTTCTAGACCTGGTCAGTTTCAACTCCATCGTGACGCTGATGGCCAGGTTCCCTTTAGATGGTTTCTGAGCCTTCTGTGGCTTCTACACACTCCTGTGAAACTCGGAAAGAATGACCTGACACGCACATTGTCACTTCATAAAGTACGTTGGAGAGTCTTCAAACTCAGAAGGGAGCTCACTCCCTCCCATCAGAGGTGGGCTAGCGCACAAACTCCTGTGCAAATCACAGGCAGGATGCCCTTGAGTTATTTGACAAACACTTATAAAGTGCTTACTACCTGCCAAGCACTGTTCTAAATTTACAAATATCTGCTCATTTGATCCTCTTCACAATTCTACCAAGGAGGTTCCATGCATATCTCCATTTTAAAGATGCGGAAACTGAGACGTAGAAAGGTTGCGTGAGTTCCCCGAGATCATAGAGCACAATAATGACCTGGCTGACTCCATGCTTGAAAATACTATGCTGTGCTGAACCCTCCTCTTCCCTTCTCTTCTAGCCTTCCTCCTTTCTCTCCTCCCAAACTCCCTCCCCTATCTCTATCCCTGGACCAATTCCTAAGGCTTAAGCCATAGCATCTTTCAATCGCAATGATTTCCATCTACACAAAACCAGCAATATAATGCAAACTGACTTAAACAGTCAAGAGAATTTTTTTTCTCCTAACAGGAAAAGATGGGATTCAAGCTCTTGCCTTGCTTCCCTTAGGTGCCTTGTTCCAGAGAAGAGGTCCCAGGGATGCCTAGCAGTGATGTCATTGTTGTTGCTCCTTCCTTGGTGACACTGATAAAGGCATATTCACTGATCATGTGGAGAATGAATATACAATGTGTGGGGAGACAGCCTCCATGTTGATAAGTCTTCGGCTGTGCTGCAAGGGCATAATCAAAATCAGAGTTCAATGGGTACTTTGAGATCTTTTACAAAGGGGCAGAAATGAAATTATGAGACCCAAGAAAATGGCAATCTATCCAGGGTCACACAAATGGCGGCAGAGCCATTCAAGACCCACTGACCCCAGCCCAGGACTCAACACAGTATAGGGTACGGAAGGGCACGTGCAGGTTTTAGAGTCAAGAAAGATCAGAATTTGATTTCTGTTGGTCACATTCTAGCTATGTGACTTGGAGCAAGTTTTTCTCTCTAAATTTCAGTTTTCTACTTCTAAAATTAAGAAGTCATAATTTTTATCCTGCCAAATTGTTGGGATTAAATGAGATATTATGTGTAAAAGAAAAATTCCCAATAACTGTTGGGTATCATCATGTAATAGTAACCATTTGGTTTGTTTTGGTTAAGACACAAATACAGCTAAAGAGCCCTGTCTTCCTTTTGTATTAAATACTTTATTGTTGTTCTATTACAACTGTATCAATTTTCCCCCCTTCGCTCTCCTCAACCCAGCCCACCTCCCGTGTCCACCGTCAGTCCCCACCCTACTGTCCACCTCCGTGGGTCATTCATACATGCCCCTTGACTAGTTCCTTCCCCTTCAAGAAGCACAATTAGCAAGCTCATGGAATAGTTCATCTGATATTTCTTTTTAAAATGTTCATTTATTTTTTTAGAGAGAGGGAAAAAGGAAGGAGAGAAATACCAATGCGAGAGAGAAACATCAGTTGGTTGCCTCCCACATGTGCCTCGCCAAGGGTCTGAACCCACAACCCATGCATGTGCCTTGCCTGGGAATCAAAGCAATGGCCCTTTGCTTTGCAGGATGGTGCCCAGCCAACTGAGTCACTCCAGCCAGGGTGCTCCTTTCATATTTCAAATGAACAACTGATTGCTTTTTTGCAATAAGTATTATACTGATACAGTGTTTACAGGTCACTGGAGATAGTCATAGTAACAATGCTTGCATTGCATAGGTATGTTTACTTTTCACAAGCCTAGTATTTGGAATCTATGCCAATTTTTGGTGGATTGAAATTTCTTATATTATAGGTGGCATCTACAACACAAATAGCTTTCCTAGGCACCTACAGAATATATTAAGCTTCTTCCTCAAAAAGCTTTGTAATACTATTAGGAAAATGCAACCAAAAAGCCTAGAACAAGTGGGCTGAGCAAGTGAGTGTGTAGGTGAATGGACACATGCATGGATGGATGGATGGATGGATGGAAAGTTCATCTGTTTTTCTTACTGATTTATAGATATCCTTTCCAAAGAGACACAATGTTAAAGTAATTTTCTCTCTCCCACTTTTTGGTTAGGTCTCTGGATTATAATAAGAGGCTGTTGGTAGGATTCTAGTTCCCAGGTAATTGGAGATGAGCATAAGATTATTATGAACTACTTAGAGCAATAGCTAGTAATATCTGGTTCAAAACCAAATGTGAAAATACCAAAGGCTATTTCCACAAGAGTCCAAAGCTGACCTAAAGAAACATACAAGGAAATGTATCCCAAGAAATTCTTTCTCTTCAACAACCTGTCTTGTGCAGGAAGTCAATGATAAACTAATCATATCTGAATGTCTGAAGTTGAGCTATGTTTTCTAAATAAAGGAGCTTGTACCCTGTACCCTGTGTAGGATACAAAAGGGAAAAACGAAGAAATGATCTTCATTCTATCCTTACAGTGGATCAAACACTGTGCCACATGATTTTAAAATATATATAAAATCTTACTTAACTTTTAAAGAGATCCTGAGGTCAACACTATCCACCCCGTTTTGAAGGCAAGAAGCCTTCAACTAACCAAGGCCACTCAATGAACACCTGGCAGAGCTGGTCCAGACTCAGTTACACTAGTAAAGAAAATAATTAAAATTCTGTGCATTCACTTCTACAGGTGATCAAAGAAGATAAAATTTATTAGCCACTTCCCCTTCCCACTCCAAAAAAATTTAGTATAAATGAAAATATACCAAAGTCCCAGATACCACGCGGCGGGTCTAAGAGTGGCCATTCCCATTAGCCTGCCTAGTTCTAAGGACTGTTGGGTGGCTCTGCAGAATCTCCCTGGTGTCATCCTGTTGATGACAACTTCATTATGGTTAAGTAAGCAAATCTTCCTGTAGTTCCTTGGAGTGTACAGATGTGTTGGAGAAGCCAGGCTTTTGGTTCCCTATCCAGCGCAGAGGACTCTTTCCTGTCATCGCCAGGCAGATACTGGGGGGATACAGGTGGGTAGGAAACAAGGGAATTGTTTTCATGGAAGTCGCTGCAGGAGGTCAAGGCTGGACTGGCACTATTATCAGTCACTATGAGTCATTGTGACTACGATCCAAAGTGTGGCAGGGATTTTTTAAAATGATTTCTTTGGTGGTTGTTGCTGCTGTTGCAAGACAGCTGGAATGCCAAGGGCAGTTCTGTCCAAGGCACAGGAAGAAGCATTTGGGCCACCAGCCCCCATTTCAACGTGCGACAAGAGTCAATCCTGCCCTAAGACAGACGTCAGGGAACTTCCTGTTGGTTCACATTTCAAACAGAGCTTGTGCTTCAGTCCTCCCCTGGCACTCAGTGCAGAGTGAGCAGGAACAAACTCCAGAGACCCAAGGAGAGAGCACTTCGCTGAGAGCTGAACCAGTGACCTCCTGGCTTCCGGTAAGTACTGTTTGGTGTGATTAGTTTGGGTTCTCAGGGCAGTGGTGATCTGGAAGCTTAACTGAACAAAACTGCTTTTATGGGCTCTTTCTTCATTGCCTTTGTGGGCTGTACCTTCGGAGAGAAACGGGACCTCTTGCTATCACATTCATCGAACCCCAAATGACAGTCCAGTGACCGGATCAGGCAACATTCAATGATCCTGAATGAGATCAAAGAGCTAAATCTGAGAGGCTTTTTTTTGTTTGCAGGCAATGACAAGAAATGCAAGCAGACCTATGAAATGACTGAATTCTTCTTTTTTAGCTAGGAGGGAAAGGGGTTCAGACACCAACTCTCGAGTTAGAATTCTGACTCTGCTGCTTTTTAGTTATGTGATCAAAGACAAATTGCTTAATCTCTGGCAAGTGCCCTTATCTGTAAAATGGGTATTGTATCATTGTAAAAATAGTGTAAGACTTATAGTATTGTTATGTGATATATACATAATGAGATTTCATATACATGAGTTTGCTTATGTCATATAAGTATTGATATGATACATTGCATACATATGTATATAATGGATTTCATATATATGTGGATATATACTAGATCTCATATATATAATATAGAATTTATATAAATAATACGAAATATCTGTTTTCTGTGACTGAGCATTGGTGTGAGGCAGTGTGGGGCTTTGCTGGGGCAAATGTAGGTTCATTTGTAAAACAAGCTCCCATAGCAAAGTTCTGTGACACAAAAACAATAGCGTATGCAAACACGTTTATAATTTGTAAAGGCTATACAAGTTGTTGTCTTACTGAGAAAAGGGATTTAAGATTTTTGGCTTTTTTAACCAAGAGCTTGTGGTAAACACACTGCTTGAAAGTATCTTACTCTCAGCTAATTACTCTTGCACAGTCCCCTCACCTGACCTTTGAACTCCAGCACTCACTAGGCTACATGCTCCGTGGGAGAGGTGGCCAAGCCCCGCGTACATGGATGGGAAAGGGGTGGGCTGAAAACCCCTGGTCCCCAATTCTGCTTCAGGCAGGGAAATTCCTAAAACTGGAAAGAACCTAATGGATTGGATGCAAAATCTCCGGGGTAACTTTTTTTTAAATGTCCATGTTTTTTAGGGAGGAGGGGGTGTGGACAGAATTGAGGCATGTTATATTCCTCTTCCTTGTGCAGAATTGCTGTCCCAGGGAATGGGGGACTTGGCCTTGGTGGCCTGGTGCCTTTCTCAGGCATTTCAGCTCATTGCACAGAACTATGTGGCCCCCTTGCTCCAGCGCAGGGCCCGGAGAACCAATGCCTCAACGTACACCTCAAGACGCCCCAGAAAGGCCTTATTTGCTATTTCACTTGTTAGTTGTTCGTTATCTGTTTGCATAGTCATTATCATTAGTATATAGGGATACCTCACTCAACAGAGAAAACATTTTCTCTGGTTTTGCAAGGTGTGAGCTCAGGGTCCAGGAAAACCCCACAGGTCTTCAAACAGCTCTCACGCACTTCTGGCAAGCCCCCTGAAGTAGGCTTTGAGAACTTGTGCTTTTAACCTGGAGACTGTTATCTATGTTTCTAAAAAACAGAGAGATAAAAGTCTATAACTATATAAATGTATATGATTAAGGAATTGCTCTGAGTCATTTATGCCTAGGAGGAAAGAATGAATTGGTGCAGAATAAAAAGAGAAATCGGGAGGGAGGAATGATAACATGCCAACGGAGGGCAAAAGTCCCTTGGCCTCCTCCCAGTTCACTGGGGCTGTCCCAGCACTGCCCTGTTCAGTGCTTCCTTCTATTATGAGAGTCTTATTCATACAAGACTTAAAAAAAAAAAAAAATGGTCACTAACACAGTCCTGTTCTAAAGACCTCACGTGCCCTGGGGCCCTTTCTCCTGTGGGGTTCCCCTTCTCCCAGGGCCCCATAGTGATCGTGGGGCCGCTGGCAGCACTGTCCCGAAACGCTGCCTCCCCTCAGCGTCAGTGTCACAGTGTCAGCCTCCGTCCCCAGAGTCAGGCAGCCTTGGGAACGGGCCACCCAGGAAGCTGAGGCATTTACGCATATATGCCCTGGTCCTCGCTCTTAGGTTCCCCCTGGAGGAAGTGAGTTCCTGGCATGGAGAAGGGCTTGTCTTGGGCTTCCTCTTGGCCAGAAAGGCTTTCTCAAGCATATTGGTTCCAATGCATCCTGTTCTTATCCGTCCTTCTTGGTGTTGCTTCCTGCCAGGGGCTCTCTTATCAGAGCAGGAGCAAAGTGCAGGGAAGACAGTTCCTTTACATCCTAATGACATTTCCACAGAATTGCCACTTGGTGAGCCCTGCTTGGACATGTCCTTGTTGCCATGGCTACCATCAGTGCTGGGCATTTGCAGGGAGGAGGCAGATAACCCATCTCATCTACATGCATGGGCACCATCCTGATACTTGACAATCAAGTGGCTAATCAGCGAAATGTACAGTTTGGGGACTAACAACTATTTAATTCTTCATTTTGTCAGGTGAGAACAGACCACCACAATGGAACCCAAACCTCAGAAGAGTCCAGGTACCCAAGGGGCATACTCTCAGAAGGAAAAACCTTTCTATTGAAAATGGTGAACAATTCCCATCAACCTAACTGGGATACAGAAGATGGTTTGGGCAGGGATAACAGGGAGCATCCTGGGACAATGGTTCTTAGTTTGGAGAATGTAGCCGAGGCTATTGGATTCAGTTAACTATGTTGTAAGAGCTCACCTATCTAGAAACTTGGCATTTTCTGATTTTCGTGGGCCAATTTGTTCCATTTGTTTCTTGTTACATTGATGCTTGGAGATGATACTAACAACAAACCAGAGCCTAGAGAAGACTGGGGAAAGATTTCCTTAATTTTATATGAAATTTCTCACTTGGAGAACCTGCCTAAATTGTCATCAGGTCTTATTATGATGGTAGCTCAAGGTGTATTATTCTAATGCTCATATTTGAGTAGTTATTTGCAGATGAGTGATTAAAAGACCTGAGTTCAGGATGAAATAATTTAGAAATCAAATTCTCTAATTCAATTCAAAAATATTTTTGAATATTTATTCAATGCACCTATCACTAGCAAGTTACTGTGCTTCACGTTGCAGAGGACATACAGATTAACTAACGAGTCATTGTTCTCAGTGAGTTTATAATTTGTTGAGAAGTCAAGAATACATGTGCACGTAACTGTATTGGGAGGTTAAGGTAAGCACACACAAGCAGGCTGTGCCAGGAGCCATGATATATGAGCACAGTGCTATGAGAGTCTGAAGAAGAAAAAGCGTGCAAGTGGCTGTGGGAATCTGGAGAGGGATGAGGGAGAAGGCATTTAGGTGGATGCTAAAGGATGGGCAGGGTTTTAAAAGAGACTGAATAAGAGAGTTAATCTCAGCAGAAAAGGATGGCATGAGTGGGTTGAGGTGGGAGGTGGTAAAAGGAGAATGTAGCTATTAGATAGGACAGGAGAGAGTAGACGATGAGGCTGAGGAAATGTCGCACTATACTGGGCCAGACTTTGACCTCACGTGGCCAGGAACCCTTGAGACATCTTAAGCACAAGAGTGGTGTGATCAGATTCGCATTTTTTTATTTTTATTCTTTTTATTTTCTATTTTCAACTACAGTTTACATTCAGTGTCACCCTCATAAATTCAAATTAAGTCACATTATAACACTAAAGTGTATATAATGCTGGGCGGGTCTTGGAACTATCAGGAAAGCACATTGTAAAATATATGATTACCTAACCACTATGCATACACCTGAAAGATTCATATTTTAGATTGGTTGTTTTTTTTTTTTTTTACAAATTGTGGTGTAATTGATATATAATAAACTGTACATATTTCAAGTGTACAGTTTGATACATTTTTATATGTGTATGTGACTGGGAAACCAGCACCACAGTCAAGAGAGTGAAAGTGGCCATGATTCCGGGAAGTTTTCTTGTGCTTGTTTACGATCGCTCCCTCCAGCACGCAACCCCTATTGCTCTATTTCTGTGGCTCTAAGTTCATTTCCTAGAGTTTTATATACATGAATCACACAGCATGTGCTCTTTTTTTTCTGGCTTCTTTCACTCAGCATAATTCTTTTGAGAGTCATCCCTTTTGGTGCATGTATCAGTAATTTGTGCCTTTTTGTACAGAAGAGTATTTTACTGAATAGTATTATATGGATATGCCACAATTTGTTGATTTACTCACTTGCTGCTTCCAGTCTTTGCCTGATTACACAAGGAAAAGTGGTATAAACTTCTGTGTAATGTTTTTTTCCTAAGAGTATATTCTCTTACCTAGGAGTAAAGGGGCTGGGTATGGTAAGAGTATGGTTGACTTTCTTTTACAAATTTGTTTCTTTCATTTTTTTAAACTGTTGTCAAGGTATAATTGGCATACAATAGGCTGACATGTTTAAGGTCTACCATTTGATAAATTTTGACATATGTATACACCCAAAAACCATCAACAAAATCAAGATAATGAACATATCCATCAGCCCACAAGTTTTCTTTTCCCTTCTCTTCCACCATTCTTTGCACCCACACTTCCTCAGACAACCACCAATCTGCTTTCTGTCTATAAATTACTTTGCATTTTATATATTTTTATATAAGTAGAATCACACAGTATGCACACTCTTGCCTAGCTTCTTTCACTCAACCTAATGCTTTTCAGATTCATCTATGTTGTTGCATGTATCAAGAGTTCATTCCATTTTATTTCTGAGTAGTATTCCATGTTATGAATATATCACAATTTATTAATTCATTCACCTGTTGATGAACACTTGGGTCACTTCTAGTTTTGGCTAGTTCAAATAAAGCTACTATGAACATTCATGACAAAATTTTGTATGGTCTTATAGCCCTTTACTTAAGAGTTTAATAGGTCTTTAACTTTTTTCAGAAAAAAAATTAATTAAGCATTTTAAAGTGAACAATTTAGTGGCATTTAGTACATTCACAGTGTTGTGAAACCATCACTTCCAACCAGTTCCAAACATTACCATCGCTCCACAGTAAAAGTCCTTACCCATTAAGTAGTTTCTCCCCCTTCCACTCTCCTTGTTCCCCAGCCTCCATCAACCAACAATCTGTATTCTATCTCTGTGGTTTTATTTATTCTAGATATTTTATATAAATGAAATCATGCAATATGAGACCGGCTTCTTTCACTAAGTATATTTTTAAGGTTCATCCACGTTATAGCATATATAACTACTTCATTCCTTTTTAATGGCTGAATAATGTTCCATTATATGTATAGACCACAATACTTTATCCATTTAGCTGTGATAAACATTGGGATGTTTCTACTTTTAGGCTATTGTGAATAATGCTACTATGAACATGCTGTATATATACTTGTTCAAATGTTTGTTTCCAGTTCTTTGGGTTTTATACCTAGGATTGGAGTTGAGGGATCCTATGGCAATTCTACGTTTAACTTTGAAGATCCACCAATTTTTTTTTTACATTCTGCCAGCAGTGTATGAGGTTTTCAAATTCTTTATATCCTCACCAACATTTACTATTTTCCATGTTTTGAAGTATAGCCATTCTGGTGGGCATGAAGCTGTTTCTCAAGGAGGTTTGGATCTGCATTTCCCTAGTGACTAATGTTGCTGCATAACTTTTCACATGTTTATTGGACATTTATATATCTTCATTGGAAAAATGTCTATTCAAGCTCTTTGCCCATTTTTTAATTGGGTCATTTGTCTTTTTGTTATTGCATTGTAAGAATTCTTTATATATTCTGGATACTAGAATCTTATTAGATATATGATTTGTAAATATTTTTCTCTCATTCTGTAGATTGCCCTTTTCCTTTCCTTATAATGTTCTTTGGTGCACAAACATTTTCAATTTTGGTGAACTCCCATTTACTATTGTTTCTTTTGGTGCTCGTGTTTGATGTCATATCTAAGGATTCACTGTTAAATCCAAGATCATAAAAACTTGCCCCTATGTTTTCTACTACAAGTTTTGTGGTTTTAGCTCATATAGTAAGGCCATTGATTAATTTTAAGTAATTTTTGTATATAGTATGATAGATATAGGGCTCCAGCTTCTTTTTTTTTTTTTTTTTTTTTTGCATGTGGATACCCAATCATTCCAGCACCATTTGTTGAAGGGACTAGTCTTTCCTCAATGAATGGCCTTGGTGTCCATATTGAAAACCAGCCACTGATATATGGGTGTATTTCTGGACTCTCAATTCTATGTCATCAGCCTATGTACTAGCATCATGTTCTTTGATCACCTTATAGTTTTCTAGTAAGTTTTGAAATTGGGAAGTATGAGTATTCTAATTTTGTTCTTCCTTTTCTAAATTGTTTTGGCTTTTCAGAGCCCCTTGCAATTTTATACAAATTTGAGGTCAGGCTTATCCACTTTGGCAAACCAGTCATTGCAGTTTAAATGGGAATTACATTGAATCTCTGTGGATCCAAGAGGCATTGCCTTTACATCTCTGTCAAAAAATCAGTTGCCCATGTATACATGGGCTTATTCTTTGAGTATCTATTTTGTTCTACTGATATATTTGTTATCTTTATGCCATGTTGTTTTGATTGTTATAGTTTTATAGTAGTTCTTGAAATCAGGTACTGTTAGTGTTCTAATTTTGTCTTTTTTCAGAATTATTTTGGCTATTCTAAATAGGGAGCATTTTCATATAAATTTTAGAATCAGCTTGTCAATTTTAAGATTCTGCTAATTCTACAGAATGTCATTAGAGGCCTCTAAGACAAAATTTTCATAAAATATTGATATTTACTGAACCTTCTAAATTTAATACTACCATAAAGCACCTCTATTATAGGCAGATTGAAGACTGGTTTATGAGGGGGGACTCAATAAACCAGAATGATCTTCGGGAGGGCGGGCCCCTTGTGGTACAGGCTTCCCCGCTCAGTGAGTGTTCTGGGAACCCATCTCTATCAGTGGACCAGCTGGCATTGCTATGAGAGGCTGTGTTCAGCTTCAGTGGATTTTTTCTGAAGACTCTCCCAATACATTTGCCCATCTCATAAAGGGTGATTTATGAGTGCACCTGCCCACACCATGTGTACAGCAGTTATTGACCAAAAATGGCATGACTGGTCCCTCTCTCCACCCACCTCATCCTCCCTATTTACCCAATTTTGCCCCGAGGTACTTTTGTTTTTTGTTTCCCCAGATGAAAAAAGTCCTCAGAGGGAAACATTTTGCCGACATGGAAGAAGTGGGAAAAAAAACACTAAAAGGCATCAAAATCAAATTCAAAAACTATTTTGAGCAGTGGAATGAAGGCCTTGATAGGTGCATTGCGTCTAATGGAGCGCACTTTGCAGGCGCGACAAAAGAAAGGGAGGGAAGTGATGGCGGCTGCCCTGGAATCCCTGATTCTGCTTTCATTGGATAGAAAAACTCTAATTCTTTAGGAAAGGCTGCCTTTTCCTAAACCAAGAACAAACTAGGACTGTTGTCTGATGTGAAAGCGAAACCAAACTTTTTTGAATTTTTAAAAAAATTTTAACATTAGCTGTGTTTTCTAAATATGAAAGTAGTTTATGTTTCTTGCAGACATTTTGGAAAACAGAAAAAAATCAAAACTGCATGTAATTTCCACACTTACAAAGAAGCATTTAATATTTTGGAAACCCGTGTAACCACTTTTACCACCTCATTTTCCATGATAGGAAGGTTTTTATTTTTTGTTTTTTTTTTAAACCTTGCTCCTGTGGCTGGTGCTTCAACAGGGAGACCAAAATTTGCTCACATTTAAGAGCCAGCAAAGTGCTTCAGAAACAGGGAACCCACCCTGGCTGGCGTGACTCAGTAGACTGAGTGCTGGCCTGTGAACCGAAGGGTCACTGATTCGATTCCCAGTCAGGGCACATGCCTGGGTTGTGCGCCAGGTCCCCAGCGGGGGACACACGAGAGGCCACCACACATTGATGTTTTTCTCCCTCTCTTTCTCCCTCCCTTCCCCGCTCTCCAAAAATAAATAAATAAAATCTTTTTTTAAAAAAAAAGAAAGAAAAAAACAGGTGTGAGCAGAATTAAGGTGCTTCTAAATGTCAGCTGAATGAAGGTCCCTGCTGTGGGTGAATAAGAATCACCCTTTGTCTTTAGGTCCTTTCAGGTCCTTTGTTTTCCTGGCCTATTATAGATGTTTTGTTTGTTTGTTTGTTTGTTTGTTTTCCTTAACTGAGTAATTGGGAGACTTTTCCAGAAGTAAACAATGTTTTCCAACTGAAGCAATTCTTTTCAGAAATTTACAGGGAACAAACTGAGTTTCTGTTCACTTTCTTCTATTAGGCAAACAATTTCCCTGTTACTATGAAAATGAAGCCTGCAAACACGAATACTTTATTAAGTCACCGCCCCCTCAGCTTTTCTCCTCAGCGGTAAGTGTTCACTGCGATGTTAGCAGGCCTCCCAGCAGCCTCTTGCGCAGCTTTGTAAATCCTTTTTTTCCCTCTGAGATTTAACCGAGATGCAAAATGTTTTCATTTTTCAGCCCTCTTGGAAAAAGCGTTTTTTTGTTCTGTCAAGGAGTGGGGAGAAGGACTTTAATCTTTCTTATTACAAAGACCATCAGCGCCGAGGTTTCATTAAAATTGATCAGTACGTATCCAACTGAGAAAAAGTTTATAACAGCAAATACTAATGTGTTGCATGCAAACTAAAATTTAAATCATTGTTGACAGGAGCAAGGGCATCATCCTTATAATATTTGTTGCTCAGAAGAAACTAAAATGGGGAACATCTGAGTAAAAGCACAATAATTAGTTCATATTGTATATTCTAGTGGTAAATTATTAATTAGTAAGCATTTAGTTACATAAGACTTTGCACTTAATTCATAGATGAGTGAGAGCAAATGAAATTATCATTTCATAAAGCCAAGATAGATTTTGAAAAATATTTAGATTGGCTTGTTTGTCTTTAAGGAATTAAGTACAAAAACATTAGAAAACCTGATAATTTGTGGAATCAAGAAATCAACTAAAATAAGAATTTTTGAATTACGTTTTATGCTGAACAAAGTGTTTGATGAGCCAGATCTAAACTTATTTTCTGAAATGATTAGATAAATTTCCAACCATGGAACAAAAAACCTAAAGACTTATTCAATTTGACTCCTAACATAAAACATTAGTCAGTTCTTCCTCATTTTGTATTTGTATCTGTGTAATACTTCATGTTTATATCTAATAGAAATTCCCATGTAGAAGTTGGCATAAGTAACCCTGAAAAAATGCAAGCTGTACAGAAGATGTTTAAATGCCACCCTGATGAGGTGATGTCCATCAGAACCACCAGCCGAGAATACTTCCTCATTAGCTGTGACAAGTGAGTAGGAAGACAACACAGTGTCTCTTGACTGCAAAACAAACAAAAAACATTTTAAATCTATAAACAGTAAACATGCTTACAACAGAAACCCCTGGTCACAGCCTTAAACACCACCTCGGCAGTCTTATTTGTTAAATATACCTTGAAGAGTCACAGTGTGCATTTCCTAAGGCTGCCATAGCAGGGCGCCCCAAAGAGGGTGGCTTAGAATGATGGAAGAGGATATCTTCCCAGTTCCGGAGTCAGAGTCCAAAATCAGGGTGTCTCAGGGCCATGCTCCCTCTGAGGGCCCCAGGGAAGACCTGTCCCAGGCCTCTCTGTCTCCTAACTTCAGGTAGATCCTTGGCCTGCGGCAACAGCATAACTTCAGTCTTCATGGGGCCTTCTCCATGTGTGTGTGTGTGTGTGTGTGTGTTGGTGTTCAGTTTCCCCTTTCTATAAGGACACTAGTTGTATTGGATAAGGATTCTGCCTTACCTCATTAGGACCTCATCTTAACTAATTACATCTGCAGCAACCAGACCCAGGGTTTCCAAATAGGTCACATGCTGAGGTCCTGGGGACTGGGATTTCACTATGTGAATTTGGGGGAACAAAATTTACCTGTAACAGTCACCATCACCCCAGATGCATACCACAGACAAGAAGCAAAACACAAACATCAGTACAAGTGTGGTGGGGGAAGGGTATAGGCACCCCTGAGGGAGTCCTCGGTTTTAAGAATGTGCCTGGTGGATTCTTCCTAGACGATTATCTGCTTGACAGAGAGGCTAAGGTTGAGCAAGGACGCTGCACAGAGGAGGCAGCGAATGCTAAAGCCAAAGTATGAAGAGCCTTGATCTGTTTCAGGTCCACCCAGAGGCAAAAAGCTTTCTTCTAAATGGCCATGAGAGCCAACAGAATAGAAAAATGTGACTTATATAAAGCTTTTCAAGCACATTCTTCCTAAACACACACATCCTCTGGAAGGAGGCACACCTGCATAGCTACACAAAAATGGCGCCGACAGGTGCGGGCTCTTGCAGGAACACAAAAGGAATCAGTGTCAAAGCGAAAGCTACGAACCCTGTGATTACTCCTGTTATTTTCTCCGTTTCTTCCCATTTCTCTGAGCTTCTCTCACAGAGGAGGCATGAGGGTTAATTCTAGTGTGTGAGTGTGGAGGTGGTAAGGAGCCAGGGGGGTCATTCAAACTACTGAAGAAAAAAACAATCCTTATTTCCCGGGTACCTGCTCCGACTGCCTATTCCAACTTTAATAAAAGAATCCTTCTCCGGTTCAAAAAGAGCGAAGGCGCTATTGTTGCTACATGCCAGCTGAAAGTTTACTCCTATCAACAGGGAGAAGATTAAAGACTGGGTCTCCTTCATGTCATCATTTCGCCGGGATATGAAAGCAGCACCCCAGAATGCAGAGGTGACTCTCCATCGCTCATAAAATAACAGGGCACCTGAACACAGTCCTCTTTTCATAAGGGAACAATGGTAGCTTTTTTTTTTTTTCCTCCTTAGCAACTGGCATTAATACAAGGAATAAATAAGTGAGAAAATGTACATCCTTGTTATTTTAATGATTAACAATGGAGAAAAACACTTTCAGTTTTGCAAGAGAACTAAAATATAGACACTTCAGATTTTCATTATTGAAGTAAGAGGAGTGAAAATTAACTGTGGCATTTTTTTAATACCAGCTGAAACAGCAGTATTTTCCATCATTGTTATTCAAGGTACATAACAGCTACCTTTGGAATGACTAAGTCTAGGGTGGTTTCTATAAAAATGCTTTTCATTTATCTTGCATTTTCAATATAATGTCTCTTTAAGGTAAGGTCTAGTGACTTTAAGTTTTTTTGTTTATTTCCTATGAACCTTCGCTAATTCACACAAGTCCTTTTAGAGGGCAGACCTTTATAAATGAAACTGGGCTCTAGGTATTCTTTTTTTTTTGACATGTTTTCCAACAAAAGCAGGAGCCAAGGAGGAAGGGAAAGCAAGGTGCTTCTTACGAGTTGACTGGAATTATTAGAACAAAAGGGTGGGTATGGACAGCCATAGGGTTGAAAAAAATAGGCGGAAGGAAGTTCAGGGCACCTCTGGTGGCTGAGAGTCCTTGAGGGTTTGGAAACAGGGGAGAGACAAGACCACCTCCTGTCTATACTGCCAGCAGTATAAACGTCTGAAAGGCCAGAGGCAGGGAGCCCAGGAAAGAGGCTGTTGCTTCATTCCAGAAGAGAGATCGATGGTGCCCTGATTCCAGTATTTCTTTTTTGTAAGCAGGAGAAACGCTCATTGGGTAACATGAGGCCCTCTTCAGACCCCAGCCTTCTCCTTGGTTCTTCCAGCACATTGGAGACCGTCAGCTCCACCTCACGAAGAAATACTCTTCCAGATGTGGTAAGCAGACTTGCCCCATCTGTCTCAGGTGGGAGTCTGCTGATGCTTCAGCTATCTCTCCAATGTATTTGACACCTTCCTCAAACCCAACCCACCACAAGAATGATTCTTAGCCCTAATGTTTATCTTATGGTCAGTCTGTCGGCCATACCACAGATGAGCCTTACTGCTTGCCCTGCTCATCTCTAAATGGAGTCACTCATTTTGGATGCTCCTCAATATACACCTGAGCATGTTGGGAGGATCCCCACCTTGCCAGCTAAACAGAAGGCTGGATGGTAACCTTGCCCTTCCTTTCACACACAGAGCATGGATTACCTCTGTAAAAAAAAAAAAATTGCCAAAACACCACTTGATCTCCTGCCATATCATCTGTACTGCTCGGGCACAATCAGAAGTTTTATTAATTTCCTTCATTTACCCGGATCAGCCTGGCTTCTCCTTGTACATGTGTGCATGTGTATGATTTCATCCTCATTTCTAATGAAATTCATTTGAAGAAAAAAAATACATCCGCCCCTTGAAAATGATTTCCATTTTCATTGTTGTAGTCTCAGCTCTCCTGGATGTGAAATCTTTCCAGGATATTATTAATAAATGGTATCAGTGTTTTTCTCTTCTGCCATAGATACTGTTTTGTACCTTAGGGAGGTAACCATAACCTTTCCCTTCTCGCTGGGTACTAGGCATGTCTTAATATGGCATAACCTTCTGTTTTTATCTAGTTGGAAGCTCTCCAACTATTTTAAAAGCATTTTGTGGCTTATCAAACTCACCAAGCCAAAACCTCATTTGATGTGTGCAGGAAAGATGACAGGAAACAGGGTGGGGAAGACTAACCCTTTTCAGTAAATGCCTCTTGCTCTTCACTCATGATACCCATTCCCCCCAAAGATAATGTCATTGGTTGTCTCACTATGTGTACACTATGTATTCCAACCCAGTGACTTTTTTAATCAGTTCCAGCTAAGAATACCATCTGCCTTATTGGGATTTATTTTTGTTGTTGTTTTTATTGTTGTTGAAATTAAATTAGATCCCTTTTTCATCCCTAACTCAGCATGATCTGGCTCCATGAGCATGGAGCTGAATAAATAGACAGAAGGACATAACTTAAATGCATCTGTTTTTTAAATCACTTTCTTTCAAGAAATCCCTAGAGAACATTCAGGATCTTTTCAAACCCCTCTGTTCTAAGGCATTGTTCTTGGAAAAATTAAATTTTACTATTGTCCTTCCATGCAAAGCAGCTACTTCGGTAGAGTATCTTGTACCTACTGGGGAGGGAAGGCAGTAATTGGGTGAACCTAAATCACCCTGAAGCCTATAATTCTACTGCCACATCATCAACACTACCAAATTGCCTTCCTACGAAAACAATAGAAGCATGTGAGCAGAACACAAAAGGAAAATATTGAGCAGGAACTGGAAAGTTGCAATGCTTTACCCTGGGCTAATAATTACCTTCTTAGATGGCACTGGGTGAAAAATAGAAAAAAGATGGAAGTGGGGGAGTTTGGCAGAGCTTAGTGACTTAGAATACCACCCCCTGAGAGAACCACTTGTCCTGAGTTACAGGTCCCAGTGGTAGAGAGAAGCCTGAAAGATGAACTTATCTTTTCACATTGTCAGTGGTGACCCAAACTCAAGATGCTACTTCAAGGGTGGGATTCTGGGTGTAACCTTGGAAGATCCTCTGATTTTATCAATCCAGTTAATCTCTTATGGATTTCCCGGAAAACACGTGGTTTAATTGTCTCTCACAAAGACAAAGAAAAACATTAATTCTGTCTTCATCTCTTTATTCAGCATTTCATGGAAAAAAGTTCTCCAGGACTCAGACAAGCTTATCTACCACATGATATTTTGACAGAGACTACCCAAGACACAGAAGAGAGTCACTATGTCAGTCCGCGAAGTATTCTTTTAGAGGTAACCCCTTCCATTTATTGATCATTTTTTCCTCCTACAAATACTTGCTGAGCCACTGCACTGAGGTGCAAGGCTTGTTTAGTGGGACACCAAACCAATGAATCAGACACAGGTGATGTATTCAGTGCTGACACATGAATACAAGCCAGCCACGATACAAGACAGAAAGGGCTCCATGCAGAAGGAAGGTGTTTATAAAATACCCAGGGTGCATGAGGGGTGGGAGGCAGGAGGGCTGACTTCCAGACAGAAGACCAGAGAAAGTTCCAGGGAGATGACATATGACTTTACTGGATAGGCAAAATTTGGACTTGTGTGGTTGTCTTGGGGAAAGAACCATTAATATGAGCATATGTCCTGGGATGACAAAGTGTGTGGTGTGTATCAGCTAGTCTACTGATCAACTGGAAGCCCCTACTGAGTGCCTTCTCTGTGCTAGTCATGGTATTATACAAGACATGGAACTTACATCACTCTGCCCTCAGAGCTCACAGTCCTACCAGTTATCACATGATAATGCTACCCAAGAGGCATGGTCAAAGGGCTCTGGAACCAATAGAAAACACAGAGATTTTCTCTCTCTGCTGGAGTCACAGAAGGCTTTAGAAACAAAAATGCCATTTGACAGGTATATAGTGAAGAGTTCAGCTGGGCTGTATCCTAGAGTGAATGAATGGCATAGTGGGGAATATGACAGACAAAAAGAGCCAGACCATGATGGCTCTTGATGCCCAGCTGACTCCATTCTGTAGTCAGCACAGAGGCACTGATGGCTTCTAAGGTGGGAAGGGGCAAAACCCAAATTATCTTCCAGTACTATTAACCCAGGGCTTATATTTGAGGTGGATGATAGAAGAGAATGAAATGGATAAAAAAAGGGACATTTGGCATTTTCCAACCTGGGAATTTACTACAAGATGGTAATGAGTGTTCATATAAAAGAAGCATTCTGGGATCAAATAAGATACAGAAACATCACATTAAAGTAAGTTAAACAAGCTTTTTAACTGCGGAATTCTCAGATCCTTTAGTATGCAGTGACATACTATAAATATCTGAGTGGGATACAACACCCAGCCCTTCCCAAGCTCAGATGACCACAGGACCCTTCTTTCACCAAAATATTTTCAAGCTCGTGTTCCCTGGGACACGTGTTAGTAACCCATCTTTTATGACAGTCAAATCAACTAGCCACTTGTACTAAGCAGTAGTTGTATGCCTGTCATTCACTAGGTATTTAATGGGATGGAAAATGTAATAAAACAGATAAAACTAAGCTAAAAGACCCTTTTATTCCTAATTACAGTTTACATTCAGTGCTATTTTGTATTTGTTTCAGGTGTACAGCACAGTGGCCAGGCAACCACATACTTTACAAAGTGGTCCCCCCAATATTTCAAGCACCCACCTAGCACCATACATAGTCACCACAGCATCATTGACCATGTTCCTCATCCTGCAATCCACATCCCTGTGACTGTTCTGTAAAACTACCCAGTTAAACTTCTTGATCTCTTTACCTTTTTCATCCAGCCCCCGCAACCCACCTCCCCTCCGGCAACCATCTCTGTATCTATGAGTCTTTCCTATTTTGGTTATTAATTTTTCTCTAGACTCCACATATAAGTGAAATCATAGTCGATTCATGCTGTTGCAAAAAGCAAGAGTTCATTCTTTTTTTATGGCCAAGTAATATTCCACTGTATATATGTATATGATGCATACAACTTTTTTATCCACTGGTCTATTGATGGGCACTTGGGTTGCTTCCCTATCTTGGCTATTGTAGATAATGCCACAATGAACATAGGGATGCTTTATTCTTTCAAATTAGTGCTTTGGGTTTCTTCAGATATATACCCAGAAGTGGAAGCCAAAAGACCATTAAAAAAAAAATTAAGCACAAAACTGTGCAGTACAAGTTCAGAGAAGGGAGAGACTAGCAGTAGCCACAGCGGTCAGGAGGCGCTGTGGGACCTCAGCCAGGCCTGAACACAACTTTTTTAAGCTGAAAGGGGCATTCCTGGGAAGGGAGCAGCATGAGAGTGGGCACGAGAAGAGCACCCATTCTCATGGGTGGGGTGGGCAGATTGGCTTGACTGGAATGAGCCCCTTCCAGTTTTGGGCTGACACTGAATTTGTTAGATAGGAATCAGAAAGCCCTTTGGGTCTGGAGCAACAATTGCCCCACACGGCTGCCCTCGTTCTGATGGGCTCGTTGAGAACCTCTGTGAGGCAGCATTTTCTACGAGCCTTTACAGGCTTCCGTAGCCACTTGGGTCACCTGGGAACATAGCAGCCTTAGGCCAGCTCTGCATTATATGGCAACATGATTTCACAGTAGCACTGGTTGGGAAAAAGAATTCATGTCACTAAGTGCCTGCGAAAGAAACAGAAAAATAAATAGCAATTTAGTCCCTTAAAACACTTTGCACCGGGAGCATGTGGAACCCAGGAGAAGAAAAGGGACTTTGTGTGGACCTGGAGCTGGACTGGCTCAGTCCCTCAGAATGAGCACAGTGGTTCATCCAATGGTGGGTGCATTTCCTAGTTCAGGGCCCAGGGCCAGCACATGATGGAGAGAAAGATACCTGGCTCATGGGGAGACCTGCATCCTTACGTTTCTTCCTCTTCTCTGTAGTTGGATAAGATTATTGCTGCCAGTGAATCTGATGAACCCCTTGGACCTGGTAGTCCAGACCAGGACTCCAAGAAAATTGAGCATCACTACATGTCGATGAAATCCTGGTGAGTAAAACTGCTGTGTTTTAAAATTTTATTTTAGCTAATATACTGTTATAGAAAATTACTATTGAAATATTAATGCAAAAACATTATCATAGACCAAATTCTACACATTGTTCGGTAACCTCAACATAAGACAGGGTGAGAATTGGTTTCTCTCCCCACAGAAAACCATTAGTGACCTCCTCAGAACATTTTTCTGTCTCCTGAGGAAGTTATTTTCTACTTTGCATTTATCTCACACTCTTCTGTCTCCCAACCCTCCCACCGTAAAGGGTGACTCTGGCTCCATATCCACTTTTAGATGGAAAGTTTGTTGGATTTGATTCTAACTGTGACAGTAGTTTTGATGGCTGAACATACTTCAACATCCTGCTAACAGTCACATGGCTGTTAGATGCTTAAATGTGAGAGTTGTAAATAGATGTGCTAAAAAAGGGTTTGTGTTCACTTTTTATACTCTAGTTTGTTCAAAGACACAACCGATGAGTCTGCTGATAGCAAAGAGGATTCCCAGACTGTTCCAGAGAGCCAGAACGGGGAGCTTCACCTACAGGAACAAGACTCAGGAAGCGACTCTCACCTTTCACCTGCCAAAACAGAAGCCCAGGCCACGAATGACAAAAAGGGGTCGGCCTCACTAACTGTTGTGCAGCTGACTATATTAATCAAGTAAAGTTCTAATTTCTCAACCTGGGTGGGCCCTCAGAGCAAGGCAGCCTCCCTTATTTACTCAGAATTCGAATTTTAAAGCAGTTCCTAAAAATCTCAAAGTCAGCCAAGAACCTACCCAGCTGCCCCTTGGCACTGACGTGGCGGTCAACCACAGTGAGCAGCCGAGCTGGGAGCGGCACGATCTCCTGGGCCCTGGGTGGCATTTTCAAATATTTTTTAAAAATTCTCCCTTGGCTAGTCTTTCAGGTCTTAGATCACACTGGTCCGGGGAGCATGTCACCCAGCTTTTACTATTAAAATTATGGGCATGCAGGTCACAAGAGGTATGGTTCTAGAATGCGAGAAGGAGGACATTTACATGTTAGGTGATGGCAAGGGTCTTTGGTGGGACTGTTCTCAATTTTAACTCTTTTTAGTGTCTTCTAGGGAATCATTTCCAGCTGAGAAATGTGCAAACTGTCCTGACATGGGCAGCTGCATAATCAATTCAGTCCATTTTCCCCTCCCCATTCACATTGTCTCCCGTCCACTACCCCGTCCCATGAGGGGGAGGGGAGGGCTTCAGGGGATACTTTTCAGTGACTTAAATTCATAGTCTTTCTGAATGTTTTGGATGCTCCTTAACTGGAAAATGCCACCTCCCAGGAGGCCAGAAAGGTTACCCAGAAAGGGCAGCCGAGAGCCAAAAGACAGCTGCCTGATTTGACTTTTACAAATGTTTCCTCTCGTAGTAACGTTCCTGACGAAAGCCAGGTGGAGAAGCTGAATGTGTTCCTTTCTCTGTCTGACATTACCAATTACTTGGCTCTCACAGAAGCCGCAGGGCGGATATGGTAAGGCTGGAGATTTGAGGGTTCTGACTATAAATTGGTTTGGAAGATACAAAGACAGCAATTACACTTTGAAACACTATAGGTGGCAAAACCAACGGGAGATAGAGGACTGTTTTTGGGGGGTTTTTTTTGTTTGTTTTTGCTGTTGGTAGTGGGTCTTTGGTTGAGGCAGAAATAAAGGTATTGTTGTGGGAGAGTCAGCAGGGAGGTGGATGGGTGTAGGAGGACCCAAAAGTCCAGAAAGGAGGAAATTTCTGATTTTTTTCAAGGTGAGGAAAAATGGGCTGGAATATGTACAGTCCAAGGAAATTATCCCAATCAGTGGGCAATGAGTATTTGTGAATGAATGAAGTTAGCAAAGCCAGTAAGAATCTAAGGTCTAAAAGGAAAGGACGTATCAGCATTTAGACTTCAAGACACCAGCTAAAAACCTGCTGGTCAGGGGCAGACACAACAGACTCTGTGATGGGGAATTTTCTTGAAATAATCACTGTTTATTTGATTCGAATTCTCTGAAAGACTTTGTGATTCATTTTCATGGGAGATTACATTTTTGCAAGGAAAGAAAGCCCTTTCATGTAACCTAGATGTTTCACCCCAATTGTCTTGGAAGTTCTGCAAGGGGGCAGGGACCACAACCTTGCATTTTCCCACATTTCACACAATCTAAGGCTCAATAAACACTTGACTAAAACTGTGGACTTCTCTGCACCTGGGCTTTCCCCTCATTAATTTGTTTACTTGTTCATTAGATATTCATTGTAGAATCACTGTGTGCTGCTCACTTTCACTAAATACTTTTTGAGTGCCTTTGTTTACGTGGAGTTATGGACTTATGAACAGTTTTTTTAAAGGGTGGCCCCATACTCCTGGTGAAAAGGACAGCTGCATAAGCAAGAAAATATAAAATGCATTTCATGTGACTGTAAAACGGGAGAGATGCTCACACAGTGCAACGGAAGCCTGGGGGTGGGGGAGGGGCAATGAATCACAGTCAGGGAAGTGGAGCTTAAGAGGGCTTTGTAAAGGCTTTGGAGGACAGCTGAGGCTCCCACGGTGCCGAAAGGGGGAAGAATATTGCCGACAGAAAAAAGGAGTCCAACTACTTCGGAGGTGGTGCAACATAGCTAAAGAAACTAGTGGGAGTCCCTATGGGGTAGACTACAGCAAGGGGCCCCATCTGTGTCCCCATCCGTGTCCCGAACAGCCAGCAAGCGCCGTCTCACATTTGTGTCGGATGCTGTATCCCCCTTGCAGTGTGGCTCACTGGGAAGGCCCTCAGCGCCTGGGATGCTTATTTTTCCACGGAGATCACCTTCTGGCCGTGAATGACCTGAAGCCCCACGGCCTGGAGGAGGCTTTCTTGTTTCTCAAACGGTCAGTCCAGAAGGAGGTAAGTCTGCTGCCAGGCTCCGCCCAGGGCAAAACAATGCCAGAAGGGACAAAGTCAAGGTTTGAGATGGAGTCTGAACCGTACTCCAAACACAAATGAGACTCTCCAGTCCTCAGCCACCAAGTGTAAATAAGAGAATAAGAAGTGAAATAACACTTCCTAAAATATGTATAAATAACAAGTTTATTTTAGGGCCCTTTCAAAATTCTTTAAAAAAAAAAAGATTTTATTTATTTATTTTTAGAGAGAGAGGAGAAGGGAAGGAGAAAGAGAAGGGAAACATCAATGTGTGGTTGCCTCTTACACACCCCCTACTGGGGGCCTGGCCCCCAACCCAGGCATGAGCTTTGACTGGGAGTTGAACCAGCCGCCCTTTGGTTTGCAGGCTAGTGTTCATCCATTGAGTCACACCAGCCAGCGCTGAAAATTCTTTTATATACAGTAATTTTGGAGAGAGCATCAGGCTAGGAGACTGAACAGCTGGCTTCGGGACCTGAGACGCAGCATGATGTGGCATAAAGAGCTTGCAATAGAATCAAATGGGCTCTGGGTTCGCATCTCATATCCTTTAACCAATTGTTTGCCTCGGGGTTCCCAAATGTAAAATCAGGGATCATGTTAACATTAGTCTGTGGTGAATTAAATGAGATAATATACCTAATATATTTACAACAGGGACGGGTCCATACTGAGTGCGCAGATGCGGTTCTGACTGTTAGGACAGTCTCCAGATTGTTCCCTCCTCGCCATGTCGTTCTTTATTTCTCACGAGCCACCTGACCTTGGAAAATCACTTCCTTCTCTGGGCATCAGTTTCTTCTCTCTAAAGTGAGAGAGCTGGTTTTCAAACTGTGCTTCTTGGCCCCTGAAAATGACAGGAGGAGAGGAGAGGGAGACAGTATGGGGTTTCAACTAGAGCAATCTACTTTGATCATTTATCTTTTTTATATGTTGGACTTTCCTGTTGGCTCTCTTTGAAGAAACAATCCATTGGCTTAAAATTCCTGCAAACCGCTGGATAGGATGACCTCTCAAATTTCTTCCAGCTCTGAGAGTTTATGATTATATGTGTCTTAGCTCTTCCATTTCACTCAATAACCTTGTGTGATATGGTTACACATTATATCCGACAATCTGGTAACTACATTTCCTCTGCCAAAGACCCATGCCGGGCACAAGTGTTCAATATAATCTTCTGAACCTTTCGAAAAGTTACCAAACAATGCTCTGATCCAAAGATCCAGGCATCGGCTCTGAAGCCAAGGGAAGGATTTTGGCCTGGGAGCAGATCCAAGAAAAGGATTTTTGCCTGGGCGTCTGGATTGGGGAGTCCCTTGCCTGGGAGGGGACGGCAGCATTTCTCCTGCGCTGTCTGCCTGTCCCTTTCCCTGGGGAACCACTGGATGCCTTCGAGAAATCTGGGGTGTTTACCCATGTGATTATCTTGGATGATCAAAAACAAATCCCCTTACTTCCCTACTCCCTCCTTCCCTGACTTATTTCTTTACGTTAAAATGGATATCCAGTCCTCTTTAAAAATGCAAAGATCTGGCCTCTGGAAGGAAAAAGAATGTTAGAAGAGGAGATGTGGAGACCAAGGCAGGGCAGCCAAGGGCCCCTGTTTCTTTAAGTACCTGAACCAGGCAGATCCAGCCTCCTTCCGTGAGTGGACTGCCGCGGGGGTTGGGGTGGGGATGGGTAAAAGCAGCGAGAAGAGAAAGAATGAGCGTTGAAAAGGAGGGGGAAGAGATGCTAGATTTTGCAGGAAAAACAAATCAAACTTCAGTTTTCTCCCCATTTTGTCAGGGGCTGGCTCCGTCTGATGGTCTCATTTCGATTCTTTAGTATCCGGGGGCTTTTTAATTCTTGGTACCAACTGGCCTATCGGGCACCGTGCCCTTTGGAATCTTTCCTAAAGGCTCTAGGCAGCGGATGCAAGGGAATAAAAATCCATCTCCCACCTGACTATACAAGTCACCCTGGCTTCCTCTGCCTAGAGATTATAGTTCATCACAGGATTTTCTTCAAAACCAGCTTCAAAGTGTGTGAGAACAAACAATCCTAAGGGCAATCTTTAGTCATTTAATTATTTTCTTCCTTGTGTTTTAGAAAGTAAAACTCACCATTGGCCGGGTCCAAAATTCAGAGAAATTCCACGCCATAGACTGTACATGCCCCTTAAAATACCAAGGTGTCGCACCTTCTCGAACGGATGAGTCTGAACTGGAGAGGGCACCAAAGAGGACTCCAGCCATTAAAAGGGGTCATCAGAAAAGCACTGGACAGTAACATGCCAGGACCCACTGAAGGGGTGAGGACGGGACCTGGGCTCTGCCACTTGTTGCTGTGTGATGCGGGGCAAGTCAGCGCACCCCTCTGAATTCCCACATCTGCGGCCTGACAATGGGGATGACGATGCCCTTGCTGGCTATTGCATCAGGGATATGAAGAGGGCCACGTGGGAGGGACAAGGGCTATGGAACAGAGTGAACATGTAAGGCCTTATCTCAGACTTTGTCCCAAACACCACAGACACAGATTGGGTAATTCCCTCAACAAAAATGTGCTATGTGTTCTGTGAGGTCGTGGTCCACACAATCCGCTCTTTGTTAGGAAATGAACAGTTGGAAATACTCATTCCAGGAAGGCAAGACTCCCAAGAGAGATGGGATACCACGTGAGCCTTCCCAAACACCTCCTCATCCTCGTCACAGCCACAGCCAGGCTCCAGGATGCCGAAACAAAATGCAATAGGCACACACACACAAGAAAAACAAGAAAGAAAAAAAGGGAAAACAAAAATGAACAGAATGCTGAGATGAAGTGGCTCCTTGGATTCAATAATTATCTTGCTTTACTTAAAGACCCAGTAACTATTTTAGAAGTTAAAGCCGTTTTAGGTCATATCCAGCAAAGATCTGCTGGCTCTCTAAGTAATACAAAAACTACTTAGCACTTCTATATTTGGAAGGTCTTAGCTAACTGATGCATTAACTAATTGATCCTGGAAGGCCAAACGAATCTAGTTTTTTTTCATATGTAGGAAAACAAAGGCAGAGAGCTAATGGACTAACCCAATCTGGGAATGCCAGTGCAAAGGCGACTTTGGAAAACACAGGGTGGGCAAAAGTAGGTTTCCCGTTGTACCATATGGAAAGTAAGACGATAATAAATAATAATGCAAGAATAAACTGTTTTTCATACTCACAGCTGGAAACCTACTTTTGCCTACCCTGTATATTTCACCGTGTTGTGAATTTGCGTGGGAGGAAATCAAGGCCTCAGATGTTTGATGATATGCTTCCCTCATGGCTCCCATTTTCCTAACTGTTTAGTGGCAGAACCAAGATTCTAAAACCAGTTCTGAGAAACAGATGTCCTGATCCTCACTTTGTATTTGCATTTGGATTTGAGAAGACCTTCAGCACCTAGAAGAGACATTCAAATACAGTTCATTTTCTGTTATCCAGATGGTGCAGAAAGTATCAAAATTTTTATTTACATACCCTATTAGACCTACGTTTCTTTTAAAGGCCAGATTGGAGTTAAGACTCTTTTCTTTTCCAGTTTTCCTGGGATGTAATTGACATGTAATATTGTATTAGTTAAGGTGTATAACATGATGATTTGATATATGTACATTGCCCTTCTGTATCTACTTCTAGAAATTTATCCTACAGAACAATATAAAGACACAAATATATCTGTAAAACAATGTTCATTGTAACACTGTAGCATTGTTTGTAATAAAAAAAATCTTTCAGGGATTGCTTAATTATGATGACTTCATATAAATGAACACGGAAGATGTTAAAAGTTTTACATGTACAGTTTTGGAGAGGTGTTCACATTATATTAAGAATGAAGAAAGCAAGTTACAATATTGTAGGCAGTATATTGTCCCATTTTTACAAAAATAATTGACGTTTATGTATATACAATTTTCCCAACCCTAATTAGGGAGAGAAATCCCTACCTCAAAGGGTTGTTGTGAGGTTTAAGTGGATAATGTATATACAGCAACTAACACGTTGCCTGATGTTTAGTAAGCACTCAGTGAATGTTAGTTCTGCTGCTGCTGCTCTGACGATTCTTGTTTTTAAGTCTAGAAGAACATACATCAAATTGTTAGTAAGAATCACCTTTGAGATGTATGACTGGAATTGGCCATGCGAAGAGGCATTTCTGTAATATTTGAATCTTTTTTTTTTTTTGTAATGAGCATATGTCACTTTTATAACGAAAACTAAATAGAACTATGGAAAATTAATAAATATATACACATATATGTTAAACCTCCCTAAGTAAGATATTAAGCCACCTCCGTGAAGGAAATAGAAAACCATCAAGATAAGACTGGCAGTCGACAGCGGGGCCGGAGAAGAGGCGGAAGGCCGAGGCGGTGAATCACCGACACGCGTGCGGAAGGGCTGGGGGAGCACGGCCGTCTGGCTCCCGGCAGCCGCTCTTCCAGGTCCGCCACCAGGAGGGCAGCAGCCGTTCTTGGCCCTCTCCTAACCCCGGAAGGTCTGCCTGTGGTGGCAGCCGTGAGGGTGCTTGTTATGAGTGTCCTGCTTGAAGGATTCTCCCACAGGAAGGGTGTGTTCTCACAAGGAAGTCTCAGGGCAGATCCGAGGGCCCCCCCATGCCAAAGATTCTGAATCAGTAAGTCAGCGGTGGGGCCTGGGCATGCGCACGCTCACCACCACGCCCGGGTGATCTGACTGCAGGTGGACCAGGGAGCCCACATTGGGGTGTCATAACCAGGGCCTGGAAGAGGCAAGCCTTCCTGACTCTGTGCTTCTGAGCAACTGGGGTGCAGAAAGCATGAGGGACCCTGGTGATTGGGCTTCGGGCAAAGTCTTTTCTGCAGGCCCATTCCTCATTGCCCCGTTTGATTTCCCTGCGCCTCCCCTTTCCCAGAGCGAAAGGCCAGCCCCTCTTCTCCAGGATCTAATCTACGGCCCAGCCCAACGGGTCTTCCTTCCTCCTGGCAATGGCAGTGGCCCCCAGGAAAGCTGGTGACTGAACTGGCCCGGAAGTCTGGTAATTGAGGCATTTTTCCGAGGCCCCAGCTTTGGGTGTCATCTTCTGTGACTTGGCTGAGAGAGCTTGTAGGTCATCTTGCTGAGAGGGAGGGTCGTGTCTCCTGGCAGGCATTAAAGGCGAGGATTAACTCAGCATTCTTTGGTGAAGTTGGGCTTTTGGATATGCAAGAAATGTGTTGTACTGAAAAGCTCTTTAAACCATTTGTTAATGAAATCTTTGCCTGATGACCATGATCTGGCAGGACCTTGGGGCCATTCTCAGTATCAACTCCAGCTAGGCGGTTCTAGAAAACCAAAGGGTTAGGTGAACTTTGCACTCACGAACGCTGGAGCTGGGCTGCCTAATCTGGCTGCCACTAGCCCCATGTAGTTTTTTGCATATAAGCCAATTAAGATTAAATAAAATTGAAAATTTAGTTGCTCCATTGCACTAGCCACATTTGAAGTGCTCAGTAGCCCTACGGGACAAGTGGCTACAGCATTACACAGCATGGACGTAGAATATTTTCATCCTCACAGAAAGTTCTAGTGAACGGCATGTCTCTAGACTGTTATACCCCCAACAGGGAAACAATTTACAATTGCCTTGTTCTAAGCATTATTCTAGTTTGATGATGTTTTCCAATAAAATATTCACATCAATGATTCTGGCAACATTTTTTTTTTGAATGGTGTCAGATCCAATTAACCTTAAAAACCAAGCTGTGGGCCTCTTAACATAAGCTGTTTTCCCAACGATTAATGGATTCTTCAGGAGAGTCAATATTGACTTAAGAGCTGTTATGAGGATGTAAAAGAAATCCACGATCTGAAACTCTTTAACAAAAGCTTATGAGATGTGAAGAGGAGAAATATGAGCATGGTCTCTTGGTTGCCTGCTGTCATTGGAGAAGGCACTCTCCTGCGAGTTTAATTGTGAAATTATGTTAAATTATAATCTTTCTGAAATCCGTTAACCCTTTCTTGCCTGCCTTCTCAGAGTCATGGCGATGTGTGTTGTTGTACCACACTGACAATTTCATAGGGAGGACTGTTTCCCCCTCGATCAGTGACCCTGGACTGCTTCCATTTATGCTGTCGGCCAGGGAAGCAGATGATGCAGCTTGTCCTAACTAGATGTACCCTGTGAGTGTGGGTAGAAGAGGTTTTATAAGTAAAGCTCATGTATTTTTTAGTACAGGGTTTCTGTGACATGGTTTTGGGTGCTCAGTTATGTTGATGGTGCTGTGGGTGGTATTGTCATTTATCTGCATGCCCCTTGGTTCTCAGGGGTGTTCTGGATAGGTGAGACCCCTAGAAAAATGATTGGGGGCCAAGGAACATTACTCTATAAAAAAATATAGAGAAAACTAACTACCATACCGTGTGATGATAGAGGAACGTGGAGAGATCATGGTGGTACTCCTGGCTGACATTCAGTGAGCACACACTGCTGAATCCTGCTATGGTCTTATAAAGCCAAGGCCCTCACTGTACCCATTCTTTTTGATGGAGAAGCTGGAGCACAGAGAAGGTCGATGGCTTCCTCAAGGCTATGGCTAGTACACGGCAGAGCCAGAGTTGAAACCAGACGGTCACCTTTGGAGGCCACAATGAGCACTTCCTGAAAGAGGAGGTGACTTGAGCCCCAGAAGAGAATCATCCACAAGGGGCAGTGTTGCAGGCAGGAGGAGTGAGCATGGAACATACTTATTATGGGAAACAAGGAGAGTGTGCAATGACTTAGCTGTTCACATCTCTGATTTCAATAATATTCATTCACTTCCTGGGCCTCTTGCTCAGGAGAACCATGGGAGCCCACACCTTATATTCCAGGAACCAAGGGAATTCTGTGCAGGCTCTTGCTATGACTCATTAGCATGTTTTACACTTCTCCTTTTACACGGCCATCTGGCTCCACAGAACACTCAAGTTAACAAGCAGTCAATACACAGCTCCAACGACAGAGGCATCAAGCTGGTCCTCTGGATGGGAGATGAGTAATCAAGAATCTTCGACTTTGCAAACCTTGTCAGCAAGTGGGGGTAATACAAACATATGCATAGATAACCACAAGGCAAGTCCAATGATCCTAAATCCTTTGTAAAGTACAAATTCAGCATTAAATGAGTAAAAGACTTGAAGATGAATCCTATCTAGTTGGTTTGGGGAAAGCTTCAAAGGAAGAATGGGGTTTTTTTGTTTTGTTTTGTTTTGTTTTGTTTTTTTCAGATTGTTGGGCGTGGAATTTTACATCTGGAA